TCTTTTACATAAACTACCCGAAATTAAATGAAATGCTTTTTAATAAGATTAGAATCTGTACAAATTTTAATTGATTAAAATTCAGGTTACTGACCTTTAACAATCTATTCGTCACATACTACATTTGCTAGATAAAGTGTTGTAGAGCTTTTATACCTTTGCTCGTGTGCATGGATTTTAATGTATCGACGTCTCGTTCTACCAGAAGATCAATAACAAGACATAAATAAAGTGGATGGTTAGTATCTGATAACACCTAACGAGAGTTGCAAGATTTTAGATGTCTATCCGTAATCATATTAATAATGACCTTAAAATATCCACCACACACCTTACTAACTACCTTCTGCACTCTCCGCAATATAGCAGAGTCTTCTCAAAAATCCAGGGAAGAATCATGGAGAACAGTAATGAATAATAAGTAATATGCAAGAATTAGCAAATCGTAAAAGTAAATGTCTAATAATGCCGATAGCATGCTACCTTCTATAACAATAAAACACGACAAGGCCAATAGAGATCAGAGTAAAAACACACACCAAGATAAATAACTTTTAACACTTTATTAAAGAATCGCCAATAATACATGATTTGTGGGATCCCAACAGTATGTTTAAATGCTGTTTATGTCTCAGGCTATGGTTAACAATTTGAAATTTTGGAGGATTATGTGTGAACCCATCGTTCAATAAGAGACGAGAACGCATCCATTTCAGGGGGATATGAGTAGGTAGAAATCGGCGTGCATACAGTAGGTCGTACGCATATTTAACAAGTGTTTCCTGTCGAAGATTGCAGGTCATACAGAAAAAAAGAAGGAAAGGAACAGTCCCTTGTGGCACACCTTTATCACTCAGTAGAGACATTGAGAACTTTCGTTTAAACACAGTATACTGTTTTCTTTCAGAGAAGTAAGAACACAGCCAGTTGGTTATCCAGCTGACGATGTTGACGCTGATAAACTTGTTAATTAGTGGTTGTCTTAGAATAGACTCAAAGCCAGAAGTGTAATCTAGAAATGCTGTACACTATATTATGATTCAGAAGAACAGCATCATCTAAGGTGCTTCTTTTGCATTTGTAAGCAAACTGATATGAATTATTATACTCTTTTTGTGCACATTGAAGTCGGAGTAGCAATATTTTTTCTATAATTCTGACACAAAATGAAGTTATTGTTATGTGTTTAAATGCTACATTTTTATCATCAGATACTTTCTTAGGTATTGGAATTATTTTTCTCTTTCTCCACATTTTCGATATGAGATTAGTTGAAAAGGATTTTTGAAAGATGCTTGTCAAACATTAACAATGAATGTCAACACACTTCTTAAAAAGAGGTTTGGGATTTCGTCAGGTCTTAAGCGTAGGAACGAGTTAAGTGACTGGAGACATTTCCGGACATCAGTTTCAGTGAAAATTGGAAAACAATTATTCTTTAAACCTGAGGATATAGGATACATTACATCAGATGACTGACGTACGAAAAACTTATTTAGGTCGCATACATTCATCTGGTTATCGCCTCTCACATGTAAGCTCTCTAAATATTTTTCCTTCGCTTATTGGTCTTGGATTTAACTGTATTGTACCAATAAGGTGCTTGTTTATTTGTCATCTTACTCATTCTTTTCAATTCGCATTGATTCCAGGATAATTTTAACATGAACCTTCTTAGTATTTGGTTATTGGTATCAATGTTTATAAGCTTTTTTTCCATTCAATCTTGAGCCTCAGTACTCTTTATGTTGGTTATACATCAAAATCATAAATGGCACCTTATTAATCGAATATTTTAGATAACGCCAAGTGGTGGAGGCGAACGTAAACGAAGTTATCTTTTTGGTAAATATCAATTCAAATCCAATCCTAGTTCGTCAGCGTCATCCAGTAGCTCAGCAGGCTGGAAGCGGTAAAAACTTTATTCTCAAAACATGACTTGATTATTATTTTCATCTGAAATTATTTCTATACATTGTGAAGAAATAAATAACAACTCCATTTTTACTAATTTTTGCGTCCTATCCAGCTACCACTATTCAAACGGTTGTAGTTATGCGAATCGACCTAATTTCATTCACTATTTCATGTTACTATTAGTGTTCTAGTAATTTAACGTCAAGTTTAACAAACTAATTGTTCTACTCCTTTATATTTTAGTCATGTGACCATCATACATTCTTTGGACTTATTATTTATTGACGTATAATACAATTATCTTTAGAAACTGATATTATTTCAAGAGCTGCTATATATGAAGGAGCGTTTCGTGTGGTTATAAATTTCATTAATTTTGTCCCTGATCAAATAAATGCACAAGCTTCAATTATTGTAATGAACAAGTCTTTTTTCAACCTATCCTTTGTAGTCCATTAGTTGCATGTTTTTGAATTTAATGAACTTGCTACTTAGTGTTGTTGGATAAAAGCATTTTCCCTCTTATTGCTAGTTCCAGGAAATACATTAGTCTCTTTGCTCACAATATCGTACTAATCTGTGTGTAGTAGCTATTATTATGTACTTGGCATCACGGACTGATCTTAGTTAATCAACCATTGAAGCCGGAAAATACTGGTCAGATATTTCTTTGTAGTATAGGACTCCTCAAATTTGCGCACACAGGAGCTTTAAGTTTCTTAGCAAGCGCTTAACGTTTAGATTACTAAACCGACATCCAGTACTTCTCTAACTTTAATCAATTCATGTACGTATTTCAGTTAATTCCACAATATCATTTTTTCATTTCTTATAGAAAAGCTCCAACAAGTACGTCCAACTCAAACACATTTCAACCAAAACTAATGAAACTTTCTGTAAAGCGAGATTAATTAGACGTTTTTATCGGTTATTTGTCAAGTTACTTATTGTTTTTATGCATTTTGATGTATCAAAAGAATATTTGATTTAGAAATATTCGTGTTTCCTTTTTTCTTTAAAAAATATATCTGGGTTGAAATGTTACTTAAGACAAGTATTTTGTAAATTTAAATGCAAAATACTCAAGTCTATCAAAGATCCTTACGATTGCAATGTGAGTGGACTTTTAAACTCACATTCTTTGTTTTGACAAAACACTAATACCTTACACCAGTTAATGTACTATCATATCAGTGTGCAGTGTTTGTAAGATGGTGATCAATCAGATTCTTCTACTTCCTCTCCGGAAAACAATCTCATGGATAGGTTACTTTGCCTGTAAACGTCAGTAATGATGCTTCTATCTGCGTGAAAAAAGTTAGAAATACCTAGCTAACATATTTAAAAAGTAAAATGCAATGCAGATTGTGTTCGTAGTGTAACGTCGTTTACACGTTCCTGTATTTCGCTTTCATCACATTTCTCTCTGAAATAATGCTTAAGTTGTCTTATCATTTATAGAAATTACTTTACTAGTGCAGCGAGCACTTATTTCACGAAGTTTAAGAATTACATGCCTCATACTTGACACTGTCAACATACTGGGATTATTAATAAACTTGTTTTGTAAGATATCCGTCAGTAAGAATCCATAGTCCATTAGATAGTTAATTTTTGATGCGTTATGTAAAGTTGATAGTCATTATAATTCCAGTAAAACAATAATATTCATAACTAGGATACTGAAAGATCAGTATAAATTTCTTAGTATGATAAAAGTTCAAATGAACTATCATAGTTCAGTAAATAAATACCAATACGATTTTAGATTATTTCTGGTTTAAATATTTAGATCTATCAGCTAGTTTTATATCTTGGTAAACGTGGTACTATCATTCAAGAGGTGAAATTCAATTTGTTAGTAATAAATATATTCTTAAGTATGGCTTACTGATATGCAATTGGTCCCTGATAGATTACTTGTTTTACCAGTAACACCATACAAGTGTAAGAATACTGTGCATCCAGTGGTAGGGCTGCAAGAATTAAATTACTATTTCAGAGAAGTGAACATATGAAATGTGACTGTTGAACACTTAGTACTTTATATTTTTAAACTAGCAATACAAACTAAATCTCTGTATTGATGGTGAGGTGACCTATATCTTAAAAAAATAAATGATTCAAAGTGAGCAACCTATCTTCGTGGGAAAGTGTTTCGTAAGTGCGCTCACACTACTGAAGACACAACAGTTGATGATAGGAGAGATACCTCTTGAAAAATTCATACAATACATTTAATAGAAAACCGAATAAGTGTACACTTCGTTTAATTAACTTGTATGTGTATTCAATATGGCCGCAATGTCAGACTTAGTTATGAAATGAGTAAGTTAACCCAACATATTTTCAAATACTGATGTGAGAAATTCGGATTGAAGAAACAGAGTGTAACATCTAAGTCATTGATTTCCAATGTACATCTCATGATTCGCTAACACAGTTGGATGTAACAATCCAGTTATTATTGCAGATATATCGATATCTTGTACAACTTTGTTTCTTCATATTTACCGATATATTATCATTTAGAAAACCTTTGTTTGTTATACATAGCATTACAATAGTGATTTATTCTCAGGTTTTGCGCTCTATTCTTTCCAAAATTGCGTAATCAAAATTTTAGGTAAATAATTATAGGATCATCATATCTTATGATTGAGGTCATCACAAGTATGCTGATGATCACAACGTTCCTTTGCTATGTTTAGAAATCCACGAATCCCGCTTATTTATAACTAGTAATAAGAGACATATTTCAAACGATTTATTTCTGAAGGAAACACGGGTAAGGAAAACATTTTTCATGTGTATGGGGATTAACTAAGCTCTTTAATGCTGTATACTGATTGAAAAGTCACATGGGTGTAAAACAAGACTCCCAAAATGGGTGAACTACCTGAAATTTTTGGCTAAAATTATTAATACACAATCTTGCTTGTTATATAATTTGTACATGTGTATTAGTCAAAATGTCATGAAATCAACCATCATGCTGCCTTTAACTAAAAATAATCAGTTGAAGTTATGAAACATAAAAGATGAGAATAATAAAGAGTTTATTCCACTTTTCAACAACTGATCTATAATGAGGCTAATTCTGGTGGAAGTTCAAGCTGTGATAAATCACGGAAATGTAGTAGCAGCGCCATCATTTTTGTCAATCGTGGTACAGTGGATGAGACACCGGAATAACCCATAGAGTTCGCAGTCACAGAGCCTTTACCCTCTTCTGATGTATCGATTTCATCTCCTGATGATTCGATATGTCGAAGTATAGCTCGATTTAGTGCTCCTGCAACCACTTCAGCGTGTTGAGGACTAAGCAGCTTGCCATAAATACTTTCAGCAGGATTATCAAAAGCTAATAGTGCCATAGTATTTTGCATTTCATTCAATAATTGAGGATGTTCTGATAACCGTTTGGCTACTGGATCCGCTAAATACGACTGGGCAAATATAAGGGCTTCTTCTAAACGCTTGTTCCGAATAAGTTCTAGCATTTGCAGCTGCCGAAGCTAGTCGTAAAAACAAGAATTTTTAGATATTATTTAGAGATAAAGAGTGGGAAATTTAGTTAATCTACGGTCTAAACTTCAGAAATAAGTAAGCTTTCGCTGTCATATGAATTAAAGACTGTGAAATTGAATTGTTAAGGTTATCTTATAAGTACTTTACAATATATTTCACTCCTTCTGTAATATAATGGATAGAATTTGGCCAAGGAAACCAGTCAAGATACAGAACATGACACTACTATTTTGTGATGTAAATATGTAAATTATCAACAATAAATTACATCTTGCCTATTAAATTTGTGTGTGTGTGTGAACTCCGCCTGGAGTCTCTCCGGGGGCTACTGCCGGTCCCAAGCCCGGATAAAGGAGGAGGGTTGGGCATGGGGTTAGCGTCCCCATCCCGTAGAAAACTAACTCGCTAAAAAAAACTCTAACCAGAAAAATTTATTCAAACCTTTTAAACTCTGTCTTGGGAGTCAGAAGGTCTTCATTTAGAAGAATTGTGACGCCTCATGATGAAAGCCGAATTCCTTCGGAAGTTACGAGGCCGATGCCCCTTCTGACAACCAGAGCGACCATTTATTTAGGTACATGGAATGTTCGTACAATGTGGGACACCGGAAGAGCCTTCCAAATTGCTGCAGAAATGAGAAGATACAACCTAGAGGTACTTGGGATCAGTGAAACACATTGGACACAAGTTGGACAACAACGACTAACTACAGGAGAACTCCTGTTATACTCCGGCCATGAAGAAGAAAATGCACCACATACACAAGGAGTTGCATTGATGCTGTCCAAACAAGCGCAAAATGCACTTATAGGATAGGAATCTCATGGACCAAGGATCATCAAAGCCTCCTTCAAAACAAAGAAAGAGGGCATTTCAATGAACATCATCCAATGCTATGCGCCTACCAACGACTACAATGAAGACGCTAAAGATCAATTCTACAATAGGCTGCAGTCAATCGTCGAGAAGTGCCCAACAAAGGACCTGACCATTCTGATGGGAGATTTCAATGCCAAGGTTGGAACGGACAACACTGGATATGAAGACATCATGGGACGACACGGACTGGGAGAAAGAAACGAAAATGGTGAGAGATTTGCAACTCTATGTGCCTTCAATAAACTGGTCATAGGCGGCACCATATTCCCACATAAACGCATATACAAAACCACATGGACTTCACCGGATCACTCTACACAAAACCAAATCGACCATATTTGCATCAACAAAACGTTCAGGAGGACTATAGAGGACGTGAGAACCAAGAGAGGAGCTGATATAGCATCAGATCATCACTTGCTGGTCGCCAAGATGAAATTGAAACTCAAGAAGCACTGGACAATGGGGTGGAGAATATCACGAAAGTTCAGTACGGCTTTTCTTGGAGAGACTGACAACCTCAAAAAATTCAAGTTAGCCCTCAGCAATAAGTTCCAGGCCTTTCATGATCTACTCAATGGAGAAGGAACTACTGTGGAGAGCAACTGGGAGGGGATCAAAGAGGCAATCACTTCAACATGTCATGAGGTCCTGGGTCACAAGAAGCATCATCACAAGGAATGGATCACTGTTGATACACTGGATAAGATTCAAGAAAGGAGGAACAAGAAGGCAGCAATTAATACCAACCGAACAAGAGCAGAAAAAGCCAAGGCACAAGCTGAATACACGGAAATAAACAAACAAGTGGAGAGGAGCATCAGAACCGACAAACGTAAATATGTGGAAGATTTAGCAACGACGGCGGAAAAGGCTGCAAGAGAAGGAAACATGAGACAATTGTATGACACGACAAAGAAACTCTCTGGAAATCGCCGCAAACCAGAACGACCAGTGAAAAGCAAGGAAGGTGAGGTAATCACCCACATTGAAGAGCAACAAAACAGGTGGGTAGAACACTTCAAAGAACTCTTGAATCGACCAGCTCCACTGAATCCACCCAACATCGAAGCAGCACCCACGGACCTCCCAATCAATGTTGGCCCACCAACAATTGAAGAAATCAGCATGGCCATCAGACAAATCAAGAGTGGCAAAGCAGCAGGACCGGACAACATCCCAGCGGAGGCACTAAAACAGACGCAGCGGCAACTGCAAGGATACTCCACATTCTCTTCAATAAGATTTGGGATGAGGAACAAGTACCAACAGACTGGAAAGAAGGACTTCTAATCAAAATACCGAAGAAAGGCGATCTCAGCAAGTGTGATAACTACAGGGGCATCACTCTTCTCTCAATACCGGGAAAAGTCTTCGACAGGGTATTGTTAAACAGGATGAAGGACTGCGTAGACGCCCAACTTCGTGACCAACAGGCAGGATTCCGTAAGGATAGATCGTGTACAGACCAAATCGCAACTCTACGGATCATTGTGGAACAATCAATTGAATGGAATTCATCACTCTACATCAACTTCATTGACTACGAAAAGGCATTTGACAGCGTGGACAGAACAACACTATGGAAACTTCTTCGACACTACGGCGTGCCTCAGAAGATAGTCAATATCATACAGAACTCATATGATGGATTACACTGCAAAATTGTGCATGGAGGACAGTTGACAAAGTCGTTCGAAGTGAAGACCGGTGTTAGGCAAGGTTGCTTACTCTCACCCTTTCTCTTTCTCCTGGTGATCGACTGGATCATGAAAACGTCAACGTCTGAAGGGAAGCGCGGGATACAATGGACGTCTAAGATGCAGTTGGATGATCTAGACTTCGCAGACGATCTGGCCCTTCTATCCCAAACGCAACAACAGATGCAGGAGAAGACAAACAGTGTGGCAGCAGCCTCAGCAGCAGTAGGTCTCAACATACACAAAGGGAAAAGCAGGATTCTCCGATACAACACAGAATGCACCAATCCAATCAAAATTGACGGAGAAGATTTGGAAGATGTAAAAACCTTTACATATTTGGGCAGCATCATTGATGAACAGGGTGGATCTGATGCAGATGTGAAAGCGCGGATCGGCAAAGCAAGAGCAGTATATTTACAACTGAGGAACATCTGGAACTCAAAGCAACTGTCAACCAACACCAAGGTCAGGATTTTCAATACAAATGTCAAGACAGTTCTACTGTATGGGGCAGAAACCTGGAGAACTACAGAAGCCATCATCCAAAAAATACAGGTGTTTATTAACAGTTGTCTACGCAAAATACTTCAGATCCATTGGCCGGACACTATTAGCAACAACGTACTGTGGGAGAGAACAAACCAGATCCCAGTGGAGGAAGAAATCAGGAAGAAGCGCTGGAAGTGGATAGGACACACATTGAGGAAAGCACCCAACTGCGTCACAAGACAAGCGCTCACATGGAATCCTGAAGGTCAAAGGAAAAGAGGAAGACCAAAGAACACATTACGCCGAGAATTGGAGATAGACATGAGAAAAATGAACAAGAATTGGATGGAACTAGAAAAGAAGGCCCAGGATAGAGTGGGTTGGAGAATGCTGGTCGGCAGCCTATGCTCCATTGGGAGTAACAGGCGTAAGTAAGTAAGTAAGTAAGTAAGTGTGTGTGTGTGTGAAAATTCGGAGGATACAAAATAAAGCAAATATGCTTCAGCTTACAACATTTGATGTCCCTACCTCATAATAGAAACTTGAGAAATTGTTTGATATTGACAGTGGCCATTCGATTAATCATTATGAGTAATCTGTCAGATAATCATTACACTGACCTGTTATAGGCTTTTAGAAACAACGTACCGATAAGTATATTCGGCTTTAAGAGTCCAATTATATTAAAATGATGATGAAATATATAAATTAAAGCATGTGAAAATACAGTTTATTGTGACAAAGGTCTTTCATGGAGTTTAGTAACAACTCCGTTCTGCATTACGCTCTATCTATTACGATTTCGGAATTGTAAGAACACAGAAAGATTATAGTACCTACGCTTAGTTCTATTGACAGTAGTTCAAACAGTAAGATTTGTACCTAGAGCTTCCTGGCACTTTGATCAACTGAGATGACTGAATGTGTCATGCATTCTCAGTCGTTGGTCACATTTATGCACTATTCTGAAATAAGCTTACAAGTCCTCAAGGGCAATCAGAGAAATACATGATATAAGCTTATGAAATTAATTATCAACATATTCTGGAGAAAAATGTGGACCTTTACGACATGGCAGGCGAAATCGTAGTGAATAATGATTGCTTACTTTAGGTGACATAGATCATGATTTTACGTACATGTCCAACCGTGTTCTGATTTGGGGACTTGTCGAGTGAATCGGTGTCCGAGAATACTAAGCAATAGGAATAGCTGCGTCATAACCGTAAGAAGAGAAATTATAACAATGTGCAAACGAACTTATTTCGAATCTTTCCTGATATTTTCGAAGTATTATTATCCAGTATTTTTATTCCTTCGAACTTGTTTGCCTTTAATGATATTTTAAACCATCCACTTTCCCGCTGCTTGGACTGATATATGTGCAAAGATTATTAGAGAAACCGATCTCAACAGCACTACTGAATCTCAATGTTTACTTGGTTTCCTTTTATTTCAATAGTTTTCTACTTTGGTTATTTTCTATACTCAAAGCGTCGATGTTGTTCAGTTGTTACTTTGAGCTGAGGTATATATAACCAGTCCACTACTTTTTTATGGAGTTTTGGATTTCTTTAGTTTATAGGTGCTATTCATCACAGACTGACCCTAGTTGGCGCACCACTGAAAAGCAAGAAACACTGGGGAGCTTCTACAGTTCCAGCTAGTGATTAGTCTAGCATAGCATATGGATGATCCATCAATTATAAACATGTATGGATAGTATTGAGACTTTAAACAGGTAACGCGTGTCAAATATTATATTCAAAGGATTGACATGAGATAGGTAGTATATCTTACCTGAAAGTAGATAAAAGGGTTTTTATCAAAGAGTTCAGGCCATAATCGATTCACTGTATCAATAACGTCTTCGATTTTCCTTAACAAAACTGCTTCACGAATCCACATACGATCATTCAAACTTGCACCTGCAACTTGCAACTCATTTAAAGGCTCTACAATTCCCGTCTCACGACTAAATTTTTCAGCAACATCTTTGTAACCTTCAACGACTAAATACTCCAAGATGAGTCGATTTATTTCTTGTCTAGTCAAACTGAGTCCATCTTGCCCTTCAATGGGACCAAGAGTGTGAAGAGGGACACCAATCGATAATGTATTACTTGACATATCAGTCCCAACTGTACTAATCGGTGCTAATTCAGTTTGTCCAGAGTTCACTTCTGTATGTGGAGTAGACATAGGTCTTAACAATAAGGTTAATAACAGGAAAAATTATGCCTAAATAGCGATCACCAGAATGTAAATAGGCGTATTAATCAATAAAAATCAATTCCACATATGCCAAAAACCTAATCAAAATTTAGCTATTCAAAATTCTAAAAATATTTGAGCATGTAAAAAGTGCGCAAGAATACACAACATTAAAAAATATTTACTTAAAAAAATTGAGTAGATAAGCTTTTAAAGTTTTGATTACGAGTTATGACTTAAAGTTGCTAACTTCGTATTGCTAAACAAAATAATATCACTCATGTACCCTATCACGTAAAACTATTTGTTAGGATCAGCAACGGTTTCTGTGAAAAAGCTTTTTGTCTGTATTTTAGGAAAAAATCGGACTACTTCTGCAGTACATCAAAAGTTAAATTAATAGTCATCTAATAGGATGTCGTTATACATTTTGTGCCAAGAATTCTGTAAATTAGATTAACTATAATAAGAAATATTGCAACATCCATGTACCTAAACGTACAGAAATACAACGGAGACCATAAAAAGTAACGTAACTAGCTACGAAAAACGTTGTGAGCACATTAATCTTTGAAAGCTAGAAGTTTATTATAGTTAGTCAACTCCACCAAACAAATACGTGCGCCAACGAGAGCATGATTTCAATCTATACGTGTGCTCCGGAATGAGAGGCACTCTTCCATTGAGTCTCTCCAATGAGAGATGATGTCAATATGGTCTATTTGAATCTACCATTGAGTTGATTGTGAGTGATGCCCGCTTGAAATAAACGAGTATCTGAGCATAGTTGCAACAGATGGCTGCCATTATCTGTTCGATGAGCTCAGACACCATGAGGTTCACCTAAGTTCCTTTCTCTTTGCTTTAGTCCACCTACTTGAACATGACAATCAATCGACATTATTATTGCATCAGAGTGCTTAGTTTTTTGAAGGTTGGAATGCTTCTTGTAGAATTCACCCTATACTTCATACGAGCTCGAGTCAGTAGGATTTGATTTTTAGGATCGAGCTTTCATGACCTCTTCCTTCCGTTGTGAAAAGGCAGCATTGCTCTAGATGCTGGTTACTCAAGGGGGACAACTTACTACTGTTACGCACCTCTACAGTAAGCAGTAAAACTTCACCCTCTAACACTACAGTGCTGGTTTTGGTCGTACCACTCCCCAACTAACCTACCTGTTAAAATTGGACCAAAAGAAACACGTGTTCCAGTCAATATAGCTCAGTCGAGTCACGTCAACGTAGCAGCTGTTGTCGGACGCGCAACATACTACACTGAGGAGTTACAAAATATAAGAAATCGAGAGCCAAATTAGCTGATAAAATCCGTTGAATGAGTTCACGAGCCAGTGCCTTTATTTACATTCTATAATAATCCATCATTTATTTGGAAGCTACTCGTAAGGTAGAAACCACGAAATCAAGGTAAGGTTTGTAACTTTACAAATCTTAATTTTGTATGGCAGGGTAACAGAAGAAAGTCACCGAAGTGCTCAGGTACAGTTTTAAACTTGCTAATACTTTAAATGGTATGATTCAAGTTTAGCAATAAATGCTGTAATCCAATGAAAACGTTTTTTGCTTATAATACGTGCTTTTATAAATGCTACGGGTAACAGATCGACAATAAAGAAAGCAAGAAAGTTTTTGTGATTACTATCCCATAAGTGAGTACCAAACAGAAATGTAGTCATTCAGTCAAATAGAACGTATGTATATCGGTTCAAGTTACCATACCTCATTAGCACACAGATAGAATAGACTGTCAAGACAAATCACAGAATAGGAGAGGTAGTAACAGTATCGGTGGTGATTACGTGTCGAATATACCACTTGAAAAGAAAATATAGATTAGTGCAAGAAAAACAGAAGAAAATAGGTATGATGAATTCAGAGGCTCAGAATTTGAGGCAAGACAAACGATGGATGCACCTGCTCTACTCCAAATGATTTCGAGCCAGTTCGACCAAAGTACATAACCACTGTTTATTATCATTACTAATGGTCTTACCCAATATTATGTAATCAACCCGACCCCAACAAACTAATCTACACCTGTTAAAATGGCTCAGTACAATCCTCAATCACTTCATCCACCAATGACATGTTTTGGTTTGGCAATATAACACATGTCCCAACCACCTCAGCTGATGAAGATTCAATAACCACCTTATCAGTCAATTTATCATCCTTAACTAGTACCCTATCCATAACACAGACATTACTTACTCGGTAGTATGTCTATGTTCCAGAACCTGCTTACGGGTGAATATTCGGTCCAACCTGGTTTTCTCGGGTTTACTCTTCACGACCTCTAGTTAGACGTTGAAGCACTTTTGAGGCTAATATTTCAGACACTATATTACTTAAACTGATCCCTCTGTGCTTGTCACAAGGGGACTTTTGTACTTTCTTATAAGCTGGGACGATCAGCGATCGAGACCAGTCAAATGGAATTATGTTCACTTCCCAGATTCTAGCTAAAATTTCAGTTAATCCGAATGTTAAAACTGCACCATTATTCTTAAAAATCTCAGGGGTTACTTCACTAGGATCTGCTGGTCTCCATCACTTTAAATCACTTGTAGCCTTTTCAACCCATGATTTGGAAGATTTACATCAACTTGCTTGAAGATGATGGATAACTGAAAGTCAATTGAACTACCTCCTCAAGTGTTTTATTTATTTATTTAACGTCCTCAGCTCAGAGAGGCCAGGTTTCACAAGCATAGAGCAAAACTACTCTTACCGACGCGTTGTAGATCCGACCTCTTACAGCCAGACTAACATCACAAAGGCGCCAAACATGGCCCGGATTGGCATAAGCCGCTCTGGCTTTCACTATACGTGCATTGATCCCAACACTCACACCCCCACCAGCACTTATGCAGCTACCTAGGTACACGAACTTCTCGACTACTTATATCTGCTTACCATCCAGGGTGAGTACAGGATTAGACCTGCTTCGGTCTGGGCACACCTGCTCCTCAAGTGTTCTCCCTATTGATCAGATCTTCCGGATTGAGAGTAAATAATACCCTCGTCTTGTTCCGAGGGAGCTTCAATAACATGGCTTAATCCAATCCTAAATAACTTAATCCACCGGAGATATGATTTAATTTGGCCGCCCCGAGCATTCATTCAGTCTACTCATACAACAACTAACATCGCCCATCTAGGTAGATGGTGGTCGGCCATATATAGAGAACATGTCCCATCCACCTCAGTTGATGGGGATTCACGAACCACCTTATCAGTCAATTTGTCATCCTTACAGTGTACCCTATCCCAAACACAAGTATTGCTTGCTCTCTGGTTCGAACTAAAAGAGCAATGCTTTGAAGACATCTACGATCGAATAGTAACTTATAAATATCCTATATTCTTAATAATATTTCACACTCATAAATTAGAACCAAGTGAACTGCTGCGCAATGAACTCGTCTTTTAGTTGACAGACAGATAACTTGCCTTCGCCACAAGAGAAGTAACTTGGGAAAAGCAAATCAAGCTTTCTGAATCCATGTCGAGATTTCGTCACACATTATACAACCAGAACTGATGAAACTCTTAAGATAAAAAAAGCAAAGTATGCATTCAACGAGTTCACTCACTGTCAAAAAATGCAAACGTGAAAACAATGCTATACTGGTGACCTTAAACAACCACAACACACTGGCTGGCTATATACTCACTGATAATAAGTGAAGAAATTTCAACAATACGACATGGTTGGTGAAAGTTAGCTTAAACTGCTTATTACTGAAAACGGAAAAGGGTAATCGGCGAAAACCAGATGTCAATTTACGGTTAAGAGTTATGGGTAAGAGATGAATCTCTGGATTAGCAATTATGGTTAGGTACAAGAGCCGACTAACGGATGATAAATATTTGAGACACAACTTGCATCAAGATCATGTATTTTTCGTAAGTAAATATAGGTAGGATGTAAAACTTATTGTATTATCATCACAGCTACAATACACAACGTAGAACCTAACACACATGTATCGGTTTAAATTGTCATGTCTTACTAACACAGCCAGACAAAATTATTTCAGAACGAATCCCCGCGTATTAGTAGTAAAATTACCAATGAAAGTAAAAGAATATTATGTATATAAAAAGGAAAAAGGTAATGCAGCAAGATTTTAAGCAACTTAGAACTTGGTATAGGCTATTTTGATAGTAAAGCTGTACCACAAGGGCGAGAAGATTGCAAATGCGAGAGCCGATTTAAAGTCACAATGTATACTTTTACGCAGCACCTCTTCTAGCGAATAAGGACTCATTTAGTAATGCTTGTTTATTCTAATGCGAATAATCCGACTCAGGAAGACATTTTAAATTATTTAAATGAAAACAGTACCCCAAGATGTCTCAGTAAAGATTTATGACCGGCATCTATGTCACAGGGTAAAAATGTAGAATTTAGAATCATGGGTTATAGTTGTAATTAGATGTAGGACTGAGTTAGGAGTTTGGATATGGAATTTCAGATTAGCATTTATTTGTGGGATCCAGAGTTCAGGACTTGACGCTAGGTTTGGGATGTAGCCTTTGGTTCACGATTAAGAATAGGTTTTAGACTACATACCGATTAACTGCCAAGTCAAATACCGCACTTTACACTATGAACATACAAAACCATAATACTGAGCTGTATATTGATATTTGTTGCGTTTCCACGGTCTATATGTTGATTTAATCACAATCATTCAAAGACTTGATCAAGCTTATGCATCGGTCCACATTCCCATACCTCATTAGCACAACAAAATGAACACCAAATTCAGAGAATCAGTTACTTCAATAGTAGCAAAATATCTAAAAAACATTCCATATAAACATAAAATACAGAGAAAAAGAATTAGTTCGTATAAAGAAGGGTATAAAGTAATTTGAGGGAAGACAAAGAGTGCATACACTTACACCATTGTGATTGACTCTGAGCCATGTCACCCAAAGTCTCCCACAACTAGCTACGACAGTCGCGTGCACCACAACCAAGTAGTTTACATCTACCGACATGGCTCACACTGGAAGTTAATGACTTTATGGACGCCAAATTTTCGTCTGGCAACCCTAACGTTCTTCCAGCCGTCTCCAAAACTAGTCAGCATTGCTCACCGTGGTAGTCGGTGATTAGGCATGTGTAATACGTAGCCTAACCATCTCAGTTGATGTAGATTCAGAACCTCATCAACGAATTTACCATCATTTCCTAATACCATGCGTCTAACCTCATTATTACTTACCCGGTGATCCCAGCAGATGCAAGCTATATTTCTAAGACATCTGTGATCAAAACTAGTAGCTTACGAGTATCTTCTACTCTTAATGGACACGTTTCGTAGCCGTAAAGTAAAACAGAACGAACTGCCGCGCAGTATACTCGTCCTTTAGTTGATAGACGGATACCTCGCCTTCTCCATTGGTGATGTAAGTTGACAAAAACCAAACGAGATTTCTGAAACCATGAAGAGGCTTTGTCACACACCACACCATTAGTGCTGATCAGACTTCCAAGATAAGTGGAGTTTTCGATGTGGTCGACTACTCCACTCCCTATCCTTAGTTCAGGTGTTGACGCAAGCCAGTCTTGAAGCAACAATCTGCATTTAGGGAAGGAGAAACGCATCACAAACTTCCTGGCATTGTTGCTCAGTGCTACCAAAACACTGTGTCTTCGCCAAACAAAACTATGTCATCTGCGTGTTCCATAAGATCTGAGTTGACAGATAGTGTTCGAGTAAAGAGCCTTCACAAGTTTTATGTACTTCTGAGATACGCCTCTCAACGACAGACAGACACAGACACAGACCATCTTGATCTACAGAATCAAATGCTGCTTTCAAGTCCAGAAAAACCATCTTTTTCAGACGCTGATAAGCAAACCTGTGTTTTAGGATCTGAAGAATGGCGAACATGTGATCGGTGCAGCTACGATCGAATTCGGAGCCAGATTAATTTTCTCGTATATTCAGTTCGTGAGTCTTTGTTAGACACCCGATAATTATTAAGGCCAGTATTTTAGACGCTATATTAGTCAAACTAATCCCTCCATGGTTATCACATGATGATTTTGATCCCTTCTTATGTTTCGGGACAATCAGTGGTACCCCGATACGATTGATAGTCTTCTATCGTGACTTCCCAACGATGACTGATGGCAATATGGTCTATTTTGGCCCATCATTGGTTTGGTGCAGAGGCTCGTCATGTTAGACGATGTGTCTCCTTAGGTTCAAAATTAATGATAAAAATAAACGATTGTCTGACCACAGTTATAGTAGACAGTCACCATTATCTGTTCACTGAAGATTCCCACTTTTACAATGAAGGTCAAACAGGTGACAATCTAGTCTCTCTAGACCTTAGTAGGGGTGATTTGACACTCATAAAATCGTTTACACTGAAATTAATGACGGCGATGTATTTAGGAATAGTTTCATCACTACAATACCAAACGTCAAAATACATAGCACTTACTTGAGTCGACTACCGCCAATAACCACTGACCTAAATATTAGTAAATTATAACAAGCAAGATAGAACGTTAGGATCGTTCGCTAAAAACGTTCATATATCCTAGGTAGTGGATTCATTGAATCTTATGAGTGAAATAATATTCACGTGGAAATAAAGAAGAAATGTATACGTAACCGAAAAAATAGGTACCCCGTTACGTTTGTTAAATGACACCAGGCACTCAGCCGCATTTAGCACTACTGATAATATTATCTGATTTAGTCAGGCTTGTTTGGTCCTGTCGATCTGCATTAACCAAATGCAAATCTCTTTCTATAAATCTTATCGGGTTTTTAAGATTTGTACATCCTAATACTGAGGATTTCGCAATAGTAACGAATGCGGCGCTTACTTCCTAGTTTTCACTAGGTATGTCTTGGAGTTTGGAAAAAAACGAGGCGTTATTTAATGTGCCTCTTAACTTGCGCGTAGTCTTGGACGCAATTACCTAAACATTCGCTTAATTTGCCGGTCTTTTGTAAAATCGGATTAGTCGAAGACATTGGATGCCAACAAAAAAGTAGTGAACTTTGAGTCATCCACAGAGACACCCGAGGAGTCAGTAAAAACACTCTAATTCTTGGTAACTGATATGTTGAACAAAAGCTTGACATGCTCTCTACTACTTTAGCTATGTAACTTTTAAAAACTACAGAAGAGCGCTGTTGTTGATTCAGTGAGAATACCAATTTGGCTATGCGCTCATGTATTCCAACTTGCAATAGTTAATTGCTTTATTTCATCAAATCAATTTATATGTATAAATAATGTTCGAAAGTATTTGAATTATCGTATGAACTAGGAATCTCAGAATTAACGCGATCGAATCAAGAAGTATTAGATGAGCACAAACGAATGTACTTTATTTGGAACTCCAAATCATGCATTCAACAAGTACAAAGATATCATTAGTTCATTCAAACACCACATCCGCCACAGCTTAAATAGGAGTATAAGTGTCTGTAATCGGTTGCACGTCTTTTTCTTAAGTTCACCCTGAGTCTGTCCGACATTGTATTGGATGAAAACTCGGTATTATCTAGAATTTGCTCATTAGTATTGAAATAAACAAACGAAATCGGAACAGACTCACCTGAAATTGTACACAATCAGAATGTCGGTTTTGTACTGAAATCATCAATATCTAGGATTCGAACCATAGATTTTTTAACACCACCCTCCCCCACGAAATAATGTTGGATCTTTATATCCCTAAGTTATGAATGATGTGGCTTCATTTAAAACATATTTCTCACATTGTTTAGAGTAAACATTAGAAGTGTTTTTGTGAAAAGAGTAAACAACAGTTGATATGAAATCATCCGAATTGTAATCAAAATCGAGCACACTTAGTACTCGTGCTTCGCACTGAACAAGTTTTTCACAAGGAGCAAATGCATTGTGAGGATAGGTAATATATGATATGACATAAGGATTTGATTCTTCTGAAATATTTTCATGAAATTTATTAAGAATATCATTGCAGTGTAAAGGATCATCAGAAAAATCAGCATCTATCAAAACTACATCACGTTTTTGATCATGACTAGGTTCATTCAACATATTTTCTTCAGATTTGTAATAAATTTCATCAGAAATAAGTGAGTCATTAGGAAAAACCATATCTAGCACAATAACATGAGAAACCTGATAAGTTGGTTGATTAGAAACTGTTGTCTCACAAGAATTCTGAGTTTCATTTAACTCTGAATTGTTATATGACTCTACACTATCTTTTGAAATCTTTGATAAGGATAAATGATCATTAGGGTCATCGGACCTTATAGAATCGGAATTACAAGACTTAACAGTAGTTGCAGTAAGATGAGTAGTATTACAAACTGACTGAATATGTCCAAATCACCACATTTAAAGCACTCAGAATTACGAAATTTACACGAATTAAAAGAGTGGAAATTGCCACAGGACAATCACTGACAAAACCTGTGCCCATCTTCGTAAAATGCATTGCAACTCCTCAATGAATTATCTGCATAGCCTTGAGTATGCACTGGGTTGGGATGACGCAGTAATGTAGTGGGATTTTTTATATCCTTATGAATTATTTTACGAAATCTTTCTCCATTACCACATTCGAAATTTGTATATTTAACATAGTCTAGCAGTAGTTCCTTGAAAGCTGCATAAGGAAGCGAAATAGGCTTTTCCGGCATAGCCAGAATTTTTGATAAGCTATATGCTTCTTTTCCGATGAATGTGAGGAACTGTGCTACAACATTAACATCCTCATCATCTTCCTTGGTCATAGCCCAAATTTCGGAACTTTCAAAGTAATCCTCAAAAGCTCCAGAAGTTGAATGAATATCTAACTTTCCCATCGCAGGCTCCATCGCGACGCCAATATAATGTTTGAAAGTATTTGAATTATCGTATGAACTAGGAATCTCAGAATCAACGCAATCGAATCATAAAGTACTAGATGAGCACAAACGAATGCACTGTATTTAGAATTCGAAATCATACATTCAACTTGTACAAAGGTATCATTAATTCATTCAAACACCATATTATACTATCTAATAAATCATTTTCTTTGCAGCTCCAAACGCAGATAAGTCAATGAACGCATCTCAATATAAACTATCTATGAACTAAATGACCGTTAAAAGCTGATAGTTGTTGCTGATTCACAAAACTTCTGAAGTATCTTTGTCTTTATATTCAGCATAAAAGTTTGAACGGTATTATAAAAAGTTTTTAACAATTTTTAAAAACAAAATTGTCACCATCTACAAAATGTAAATAAAAGTAATTTGTATCAAGATTATTTTAACTATTTTAAGGTGGATGATAATGAAAAGATGGAATGATAAATAGTTTTTTTTTCTTTTTTTTTCTTTTTAAGATCATGAATTTAATTAAAATAAATCAAATATTCCTGTAAATCTAATTTGATTTGCAAATATATTTTATGCGAATTAAAAACATTGAATAATAATAATGGTAATAATATGAATGGAATGAAGCTTAAAATTTTGAATGTACACTGCTGTAGAGTCCTACAATAGGGCGAAACCGCTGTTCAGTGTTTCTAGGTTTTTAGTGGTTAGCCTAACATCAATCGGTGATTAATGATTTTAATCAAAAATTTAATACTCTCCACAAACTTTTTAAAATCTTTGATTATTCGGTTGAGGTTTGGCCAGAAACAACTGAATTATATGAAAGCACAATAACAGAAGTAATCATTGACATTCGTGTTTAACGTAGGCATTAGGTATACTAATTATGTATAATGAATTTTGAAAAGTTTGTGTGCTCAAAATGGATAACCTCAGCCTTAGCTTTTACGATCTGAATAAAGACTATTAGAACCTAAGTCTTGTTTCCTCTATAACGATATCACGAAAGGGGTGTACCGGTGTGAAAAACTCTTAACACAACATTTCAAGCTTGCCATAGCATACCTTGAGAAATGCTGAGAGGTTTTGCGTCTTCTCCCTGAGAATCACCCAACGTTGATTATTTCAATGTATTTATATGTTGATTGGTGACACCAGAAAATTTAATTTAATAGGCGTGTAAATTGACCATTTCGTTATAACACAGACGATACATCAATTAGTTTTCTCTTCAGGCTTATATTCACAAATCATTTTTTCTCCAAGTTGTTTCGATTTGTCTTTACATGTATCCCGGATAAAATGACCCTACAGGCACTGCATAAGGAACAGAACCAGTGGAGAATAAATATTCATTATCTGGCGGGCTTGGGAAATAACAGCGTTATGAAACCTACAAAATCATGTTATGCAGACATCGTGTCTTCATACAAATGACCGTTTCGTATAAGATTATTAGTGAACGTTATTTCTATGATTATTTTTTACTAGAATAAAATTCCTGATGTAGTACAGGTTGATTGGGCATTATTTAACGGTCTTGACTACGTTATCCATCGCTGAAAGTTTACCACTGATAACTGTGCGTTCTGTCATAAGGTAAAACATTTTGAGGAACAAAGAACGCACTCTACTAAGAAACGAAATTTCTAGAAAACCTAGGGTAGGCCACAACTGCTGTTAAGAGCTTTTGAACAACGAAAGGCCATTTTAGCTGAGCTGCAATTTCATTACGCGGAAACTATTATATTCATATTTTAGGAAAAATTGCCAGCTGTCATTGGACTTCGAGAATATCCCCAAAATTGTGAGATTGAGGTGGAAAGATTTGATATCGGCGCAGGACTGGAAGAAATATCAAAAATGAAAAACCCACAGCTCACTTTCTGACATTCATGGGTAAAGAAGCTTATAACGTTTTCGTGGTAAATAACTCCCCAAAATAAATAGCTCTGTAAGTTTTCGATATTGGATGCTGACCATATGTTTTAATGGACTCACTTAGCTGAAGGCGCTCGGTTATGCATCCACACCAGATCACGTGTGGTAACGCCGTGCTCAACATCTACCGCAATCGCTGGCCAGATTAGATCGTACGATTCTCGATATATTGATGGCATATCAAATGTATCTTCCAAATTCCTCGCTTCTGTCTTTTGATTTCACTTGGTAGGTACGCTTCATATAGGTGTTACTGGTTAAAGCGTTACCAAACTCCAAATACCTGTATAATCTTCAACGTGCTTTGAAGCTGCCTTTCTCCGAGAAGCCGATTTCATTCTCATATCAATCTCTCAAGAAGTTACTAGATACCAATTGCAATGTGCTAAATGAGAATGCAGTTGGAGATCGAATTTTCACAAAATGATGAAACAAAATGATCAGAAAGGTAAAGACTTCATATTTTAATTACAGAAGCAGGACGCTTTCGAATGAGAGAGAGATTAGAGACTTAATTTCGTGATCGGTTGTTTGCTGGTATATATACTCCGAATTTAGAAATAGATTTAATTCAGATACCAAAACATTTTATTCCAAGATATAAAAGTGGTATCTATTGATCAAGGCTGTGAATCAGAATGATTTTCAGTCATCAAAAATTTCTAACACTTCGCCTAGTTGTTTTAATGAACTAGTTTCTCCAGTTTATCCAATCCCGCGTTTGTTAAATAATGATACCTGTTCTCGTGGTATTATGAAAAGTGAATCAACATGGAATTGTAAAACAGATCACAGGAACGATCAAATTTTTTCGATTTTTTGTTTTTACTAAATTTTCCTCATGCACTTGTTTTGAATTTGAAAATGCTGAAAGGTTTAAATGTTGTAACATTGGACTACATAAATGCAGTCACTCGAGCCCCCAATTGGGGGGAAATGACACCGAAACCCTGAAATTCCTCATTAAAATGGGTGGAGGTAATTTGACTCTAGGGATTTCCCCAAAATGTCACCAAACTTGGGAGATTGGGCAGTTTTTAAATCTACTGCTCATTTTGCCGCTGATCATACTAAAATTTGTCATATAGGTCCTTCTTTAATAACAACTCTCAGTAATTGACGTTATGTTCAAAAGCAATCAAATCTCTCCAG